CCCTCACTGATTACACTGTAAATGATAATCTACCTTAACCAAAATCAAAGTAGACTATCACTCACCCACACCAGATGGAAAACTCTACAGACTGTCGGTTCACACCCCATCACAAGCCAGCAAAACATCCACGAAACAAAGAAAGGTCTAATATATATATATATATATCGTCACATAGATATCAGAGCGCAAAAGCGAAAAAAAACAAACAAAGGAAACGAAAAAATATCAATTCACTTTTTAACTTCTTCCTTACAAGACTCCCCCTGTTCAGAACCTCTTGCGTACAAGGCCGCCCACGTGGATGTAGGTTGAGCGGCGGCTGCCCCCACCCCACCCCCGTGTGTCATATCGACCCACTTGCACACAGCCAAAAGGCGAAGAGGCAAAGAAAAGATGAAGGGAACAGCCAAACATTACAGAACAGGGGGCAAACGAATCCTAGATGACAGGTCCCACATGCAGACACCGCCCCCGACAGCACAGGCCAAATGACGGGACAAACCAGCCAGGATTCAAGACACGGGAACTGTGAGATGGTTAAATGAGCCAGGCCATTTTCAACATAAATGAATACCAGAAAAAAAATTCTACCATAGCAAAGCAAATCCTAAATGACAATCCTAGATATATAATATATATATCGTCACAAACAGAACTGCCCGGTAAACCGTAGGCAGAGAGAGAGAAGAGGACAACAAACGAGGGGCTGTGACAAACTGTTTCGTCGGAGTTTCACCGACTCATCAGGAGGCTGTATATATCAAACCACAAGGGGATGGATGGCAGTAGGCAACTTACCTAAGACAGAAGACTACTCCAGCAAGAAGGCACCGACACAACCCCCTCAAAGGTCCGAAAAAAACTTGGAGAGCCTTCCGTATCAGCCCACAAAACCAAAAACGCATTTATCAAAAACAAACAAATATAACAGCATTGGCATTCCTGACATTCATCTCAAACTACACACTCGCATCACTGCCAAAGAGGAGGAAGAAGATAAAAGACAACTTACCTAAGACAGAAGACTCCTCCAGCAAGAACGCACTGACGCCCCCCCTGCTAAGAGTCCGAAAAAAGTGGGAAAGCCTTCCACGCCGGCCCACAAAACATACACTCCCCCCAAAGGGAACTCGTGGCCACCCGTAAGCATCCAAACAGCCCATGCTCTAAAGCAGGGCAGAGAATTAGGCCGCCACGTATAATCAACAGAACCAACAAGACATATCCAACCACAAAAAGCGAGAATAGCTTGCTAGTACGAGCCCGATCCTAGCCGCTCAAATCTGCCAAGACAGAGAGCTAGCAAGACCGGTGTGTGTGTGTGTGTGTGTGTGTGTGTGTGTGTGTGTGTGTTCCTGTCTCCACCATCTCTCCTGTCCCCCTGTGTGTGTGTGTTTGTGTGCGTGTGTGTGCGAGCGTGTTCGAGGATGGGGCAGGAGATGGCGGTGGTCCTGCTACGCATATGTCGTCCCCAAAACGTGGGGTCTTGAACCTCTTCACACCTTTTCCAGAGATTGGGCGTCGCTACACCACTCATGAAAAAAAAAAAAAAAAGTGAGTGCACCTTCCGGTAGAAGGTGGTAGAAAACATCTGTTGCTGTGAACAGGAACGCATGAATCCAGTCACCACCTGGGGGCAGATGCACTTCCATTTTTGTCGTTCCATGAGTGCTGTGGTGGCTTGCATGAGGACTTTCCAAGGTTAAGGGAGCCGACCGGAGCCGTGATGATGGCACGCTGGATGATGATCTTGCCTTCACTTTTCTAAGGGCCTCGTTCCACTACAAAACACCCCGCATGCATTTGGACGTTCTCTTGTCCATGTGCATTCCAACGAGTGCAACATTTTTATATGTATCCCGTCAAGAAAGCGTCCAAATGCATGTAAAATAAAGTGTAGTGTAGTGAAGCAAGGTCCCTAGTTTCTAGTACTTTCTAGTAGTTTCTAGTAGTTTCTACCCATTCCGATGATCAGTGCCTTGGCAACCCCTTCCTTCTTTGCACAGAATTCCAGTCCCAAAACAAACGGCCACCGTCCGTCCCCACTGACGTCAGGCAATCACTATCACAAATACACTTGCGACTCAGATATCGTTCTGGCGCGCCCTCCCTCCCTGCGGTGCCTGTGCGCACCGACTTCACACTTCATGAAGTATATATGGGTTGGCCGGAACACAGAAAACACCTGTTGCTGTGAACAGGAACGCATGAATCCAGTCACCACGTGGGAGCAGATGCACTTCCAATTTTTTCGTTCCGATATCGCTGTGGGCCGGCACACACAACATATATACCTTATACGACAGCCTTGACAGCTTGCCACGTCCCTGTCGACGGGGCAGGTTGTGGGTTCACGTCCTGACAACCTGCCCCACACAAACCGCCCAACACGGGAGAATGTCGAATAGGCTACATACAGCCCGTTGCTCGCGTCAGTTTCCCTGATTCGCAGGTTGTGGGTTCGAGTCCCATAACCTGCCGCAACACACTGGACATGTCTTCAGCCCACTGCTTGGGGGGTCCATTGCCGCCTGCCAGGTTGTGGGTTCAAACTTCAAATCCCATAACCTGCCTGCCCCAGCACTGCAGAGGATGTCTTAAGCCCACTGCTCAGTTGTTGGTTCGAATCCCCACAGCCTGCCACAACACTGGAGATGTCGTTCGTCCCCGCTTGCTTCAGACAGTTTCTCGCTGCGCCGCTGGCACCGCATACCATTTGAAATGGAATGAACTCATCCCAGTCCTCACATCCCTAGCGACCCGGCTGATTTACGCACGATCACACATTGAAGGACTCTCCACACCCACACTTCCCTTTGGCATTTGGGTTGATGAAAACAAATTCTGACCTGCAGAAGACAGACATGCAGAAGTGTCACGAATAAACAAATCTACGCACCCTCACGAACACAAGACTGTATATATAGACATTAAATATATACTATATACATATATTTTTTACTTTGCAAACTGAAATGCACATAACATCACACACTGTACAAGCTGGCTGCTGTTGTACATGCTCTGCAGTTTTCCCGTCTTTATTCATCATTATTAATTTATTATTACCACTTGAGACCAAGTCCACTCTTGGCGCTGCGGAGCTTATTAATTATTATTATTATTATTATTATTATTATCATTATTTTATTATTTTATTATTATCATTATTTATTATTTTATTATTATTATTAATTATTTTATTATTATTATTATTATTAATTATTTTATTATTATTAAAATAATTAAATTAATTAATTATTTTAATATTATTATTATTATTTGAACTAGCTTTTCATTTTACCAGATCACAGCAAGGATATCACATTCGAAAACTTTGCTGTTATGAGAATGCTTGTTTATTCATTTGCAATTTTGCACACATTTAAATTTAAATTGGTTTAATAGAGACAGAATTACTATGTTAGACACTCTCACGGCTCCCGACCGCTCATCTCCTCCTCGAGGAATCTCAGCTCTTGATTTGCACCTCTTCAGAGTTGTATACGTGCATACCAGTCACGGACGCGATGAACTGCAAGCTACTGTCCCCCCCGCCAAATACATCGTACAGCCATTATTTGGGGGGGAATGTTGAGTGAAAGTTCCCCCACACCTTCTACCCCTTCCCCCCCCCCTTCTACCCCCCAAAAGAAAACAGCTATGTTGACCATGGTCTCTATTCGGGGGAAGATGGTAGCTTCCTATAAATTGCTCTGTGCTTTTCAGGACTACCCGCCACACCCTCATAAACTATTCATCCATACCGTCACTGCACCTAGGCGAATCCTGACATCAGAAACTGTGTGGCTGCGATGAGAACACATCATGCATCAAACCGATCATATTCTGCCAGAGCCATTTTCCCCCGTGCGCATCAGTACCTTCTTCCCTACCCCCCGAACACTGCACCTTAGCATCATGACTGTATTTTAACAGGAATAGGGTTTGTAAACGTTCAGGAACGAGGGGGTGTTATGTTATGTCCCGGAGGAGGGGGGGGGGGGGGGGGGGGGGAGAAGGTAGTTTTCTCCCAACCTAGGTCCGAAGACTCTTCTCCACAGCTTTTGCGATGACAAGCAGCTGTATAGTCTGTGTGCCCCTTGTTGATCTCGAATCTATAGATGCTTTGTTGTCACATTGATTGAGCTTGTCCGTGTGTTTGGGTGCCTTTTTTTTTTTGGGTGGGGGGGGGGGGGGGGGGGATGCCTTCTTGAAAGATACCCCAGGCTCAAAATAGTGACTCGACCAAAGGGGGCCTAGCTCAGTTGGTACACCCCTGAACTGTTGAGATACAGAGCCACGTTCAAATCCAGATGCAATCAGAAGAACTGAATATAATAATTCGGGATTACCTGGGGTCAGTCAGTTCAATGATGATATCTTAGTAGCACTCCCAACCAACCAACCAAAACAAAAAAAAAAACAAAAAAAAAAAAAACACTGACTTGATGGAGAAGAAAGGGACCAAGGGGGGAAGCCGCATGCAAAGAAGGTGTTGGCCGTGGGGCACGGTAGTTTGTCTAGTCTATACAGGAGGAAGGAGGACAGGAGCCCATTGTCTGAGCCTGACCGCCCCAGGTCTCCTTCCATGGCTCAGTCGACCTAGCAAGAGAATAAAACTGCCAAAAATAGCACTGCCAGCGGACGAAGGACAGGAGGAAGGAGGACAGGAGCCCATTGACGGAACTGTGCGCCTACTCCCTGGAGGGCCAGACAGAGGACCTCTTTCACTGCTTTCTTCTCTGTCCCAAGATAACACCAATTTGGGACAAAATAGCCAAGATCTGGAACTCAGTGATATGCACCCCCTTTACAACAAACCACACCCTCCTACTGCTGCTGGGTTTGACAACCCCGGAAGATTGGACCCAGCAACAAAGTAACTTCTTCCAAATCCTCAGAAAACTTGAGAAAAGCTTTTCTCAACACTTTGGGAAATTGTTGAAATATAGACCCAAGTTCAAGTCCGCTTACAGTCAGACGAGCAAAAATCAAATCATTCCGAATTACCTGGGGGCCGGGGCCGGTCAGTTCAATGATGCTATCTCAAGCTCAAGGCCTTCCCCTTTCTTTTGCCACAAAACTTGACAAAAGGGAGGGAGAAAAAAAAAAAAAAAAAAAAAGACTGCCAAATTCACCCAGTGCTGACCCACGGCTCATGCCGCTAAATGTTACACACGTGTTACTGTTAACAAACAGCACATGCATTCGAATCCCGATGCAATCAGTCGAGCTAGTCTCAGGGGGCAACTACTTGGCTAGCTAGCGGCCATCTCGAGCATCGTGGTACGGGTAACGAGTACCTGGTACATAATACAAGGATGATACAACCACAATGTGATTCTTCTTTTCATCCCCCCCCCCCCNACGCACCTCACGTTCACGAACCCATTCTGAGTCATGAGATATCCAGTCCATGGTTAACTGTGTCAATTATTCACATCGGGACTCGCTCCACTACTCTCCAAATGTATAAAATGAGAATGAACCTTCCACTAGAACATGAGAAGATACATCGCCTTATTTGTTGACCTTAGTGCATGTGGTCATGTGCATCCAGATGTGTACCGAGCCCATTATCGCACATACAAGGCTCTCAAAGGAGGATTCTAAAGGACCCCGTCAGGGCATAGGGGCTCGTTCGACACTCCTCGGGGCCGTAAATTCCCCGAGGAATTGTTCGTTCCACCTATCCTCGGGGATGCAGTCGGAAAAAAAAAAGTGAAAACACTCCGAACACTCCGAAGGAAAAATTCCTTGGGCTCCGAGGATTCCCCAGCCATTTCTTCCTTTTGCCCAAGGGACCTCACGAGGTCCCTTGGGCAAAAGGAATCCGTGTTTCACAGAGAGGAGCGGGCACATGGGTAGAGAGACGTTACAACCGAGAACCTGGATTGTGGCGGCACCCTATTGGCTGAAGGCCTCAAGCACATTTGATTTTTTTTTTCTTTTCTTTTTCTTGTCTGACATCGCTCCAAGGAAATATCCTCGGGCGGCGTTCCCGAGGAACAGGTGGAACGATGGTGGGAATTTCCTTGAAAACCCCCAAGGAAACTTCCTTGGGCCCCGAGGACGCCCCAAGGAGTGTCGAACGAGCCCCATACTCACTTTGCCTTTTTCAAATTATGCATGCGGACGTAATTGCAATCAGGCGCATCCAGGTGTGGACAGAGGAGTCATAAAACCGTCCAAGCACGTCTTCGTGTGAAAACGATCCCAAACGACAGCCCCAGGGGATACTCACAGTGGGACTTTTTTCCACCTCTCTCTGGACATAATTGTGGTCATGTGCATCCGGATGTGGACGGAAAAGTGGCTCCATGCATCCAGGAAAAGTCCTGTGAGTGTCCTCTCAATCACACAGGGTTCAGGACAGCTAATTACAAGTGTATCAGAATGTCTCAGTGAAAGAGATCCAGGTTCATCCAACATTTTGCAACAGAGATCCAGGTTCAGTCCACATTTTGAAAAGAGATCCAATTTCATTCAGCACCTACCAAAACTGATCCAGGCGCATTCAGCATTTCACGCTGGTAGCCAAAGCAGCAAAAGAAAAAAAAAAACAAAAAAAACAGAAGTGCATCAACAGCCCTCTGCGTGAGCCCATCGGGTTTTCAGACCCCTCGGAAAAAAGAATGACATAAGCTTGGGAAGGAAATTAACCCTCCAGCGCTACCGCAGCAAACCCAAATACTTACCTGTATTATCTGTATACACTGGCGAGAGTGCGAAGCGCTCTCGCGGCTGTCGGAAGAAGTGGAACTTACTCTTCTCATAGAATTTGGTAGAAATAAAAAAAAGGAGAATGCAGATTTCTGCAAAGAGAAGTTTTTGGCCTACGCGCGGCCCGGAGATATTTTATTATTTTTCCTTCATTGTCTGATTGTACACACTGGGCCGGGGGGGGGGGGGGGGGGGGGGGGGGGGGGGGGGGGGGGGGGGGAGGGGGGCCTATTCTGACCGCTGTTTTCAGGGGTACAGAGCACGAATGCACAGTGCGCAACACGCTGCATGAGCGCGGCGGATACGCACTGCATGCGCCACAGCCACGACTTCAACCGCCATTACAGTTGGACAGCCAGGATGGTAATAATGCCAGCAGCAAGACGAACCAGGCAGCAGTAGGGCCTAGGGCAGGAGGGCAGATAACACGGCAAGCAAACCCGGGTGGAAACGAAGCAAGGAGCCGAAGCAGCAGCCAAACAGTCAAGCTTGGGTGGGTAGCAAGGCAGGCAGCAAGGCAAACTGAAAAGCAGCTAGGCAAGCCATTGGGAATGCAAGAGGGCAGGAGGGTAAGAAACCAAGCAGGCAGCGGGGCGAGCAACCGGGCAACAAGCAGTGACTGGGAAGTCGACCAAGCAGGCAGTGGTGCACGGGGCAGCAAGGCAGGTAATAACAATAAAACGCAACTGGACAGATAAAGGTCAGCAGGTGGGCAGGTGGGCAGGCAGCAGGCAAGCGCCAAGACAGCTACAGAAGACAAGGCAACTGAGATGAGCATGGAGGCAGGCAGGCAATGAGGCAACGCTGTATGTAAGCAGTTACGTGGCCAAGCAGCACGGCAGGCAGACAAAACAGCACGGCAGCACCGACACGGTAGTCCACACATACAGCAAGGACAAATGCGCGGACCATCATCTACTCACACTACAACTAGAACCCTATGGACTGTAGGTTCATGCCACCATTAACAGATCAGAGAGTCCCTTTGACGAATGTCTGTCATCGTATAATCGAGCACCTTGGTATCAAATGTGACACAAACTGCACACCCCCTAATCCTGTTCCACGCACTGCTAGCAAACACACACCTAACAATTTCTCATATCCCAAAGTGGATAATCTG